TAAAACTACATTACACCCAAGGTAAAGACATACCAAACACCACAAAAGTTCATGTTATCTCCATTTTAAACAGCCTGTTAACCTTTAGTAAGCAAGTCTCAGGCCCCGTTCACATTGAGCGATTTATCGCGCGGTAATTCCCGCGATATCGCGCTAAAATGCTTGGCAATGGGGCAAAGAGTCCTGCTGTCGCGTGTCGCTACAGCAGGACCCTTTTTGGAGCGAATTTTGCAGCGATTCAAGCATTTGCGCGGCAACCGCACGATTTGCGAACCGCTCAATGTGAACGGGGCCTCAGACTCTCCTCATTTCCATTTGTTAGAAAGTAATGATAAAAACTCAAATATGTTAAAATTGACATTAAGTGAACCTGTGATTTTTATCCATGCCTTCCCCAACAGAACATTTTTAACTCCTAGCAGCAGAGGGGGCAAAAACAGAGGCAAGTCTTGAGCATGTTACAAGCCAACGGGAGTCATAGCTTACAGAAGGACTTATGGAATGAGTCGCATATTTTTATCACCCAAAAATACTTGCCATTTCCCCTGCCACTAATTGGAACCAGTAAGTAGCAGGAGACTGAATGAAAAGTTACCATATATTGCTGGGGATTGGGAAATAAAGCCAACCGGTTACATTGCCCCGAACAGGCAAGAAGGCTGCAAACAGTTGCCTCTTATAAACGGAAGTAAATCTCATTTAATTTACCTGGCTATGGACAAACAGGATGGAGCAAGCCAACTGAAAACCAGGAAGTACTGAAGTCTCTGCAGATCAGAATAGCCCAGAACACGGCATCAAGGACTTGAAGATACTGGCTTACTTTTTTATTATTCCTGACAAGACTGACCAAAATGCTTGAGATACATGGGAAATTTGTAATCTCTTGCTACAGAGTGCTTATCACATAAATTCTCCGAGGCACATCTAGCCTAACATGGTCACTGAATACAAGTAGGTCAAAATGATCAGGTAACGAAATGGAAAAATGGCTATGAAGTAAACGTTACAGGTACCACGTAGTAGCAAACAATTTTAGGATCATGCAATATTGATAGCTACAACATGCTACTTCTGTAGCTTACGCCACACAGGAGTCATTGACTCCAGTTGTTCAGCAATCGTTTGCTACACCTCCTGATTTAAATCACTATGGGAATTCTGCAGAATGGAGCTAGCCCAAGCTTCAGGAATGGTTAAAGATCCCTTCATTTTTTTTGTGGTTTGTGCCTCATTGGGGAGATACTGCTTCACTTCCTGTTTCAGTAAAATCAGAAATAAGATCTCTTCCGTTTTAATATGTGTATTAATGTTTAACACATAGTAAACATGGGTAAGTGGTTCACAATGCTCTAAAACAGTACTTAGGCAGAAAACAATAAACATAATGGATGCAATACTATAGCCTATGAAGTATAATTCTAAGAGCAAGTGGGTGTCTCGCCTCTAAACCATGTAGTAAGAATTAACATTTTGTGCAACTGCAAAGTTAACAGGTCTACACCCCCTAGGAGAAAACCCAGCGAAGGAAATTAAAACCAAATAAAGAAGAGGTAGCAGGGAGAGACCCCACAAAAGGAAAAAAAAAAAGAGAGCAGGAGGCAGGAAAGGGAGAAGGGTAATAGTATCCATCATACTAATAGTGGTAGTGGGTCCCACATCGTACTAACACTCGCTAGTTTGACCAGCTGCGGAGGCTGCCCAACCCCATTACTAACACCAGAACCATCCGAAAGATCAAAACACGTCAGATTCCCCGGTAGCTCTTGGGTTCATGTTAGGGTGGCGATACATGAGCCAAGGTTCCCAAATACCCAGAAATGTAGTATGTTTGTCTTCTAAAATACTAGAAAGGTGTTCATTAAGCATGACATTCCAGCCTATTGACGAATTCCACATAAGAGATTTGTTGTCTCTTCCAGTTGCTGCCAGAGTTAACTTAGCTGCTAGAAAAAGAAAGTGTGACAAGGCACGCTGTGGCTTAGTTATTCCAGGTATAGACAAATGGAAGAGGGCATATTGAAGGTTTCTGGAAACATGCTAAAAAAAGGAACCAGTTCGAATATCTTGATCCAAAAGTGAGCGGCTAATGGGCATCACCACCATATATGTACAATATCTCCCACTTCCCAGCAACATCGGACGCAAGCACTCGAGGAAGGGAATAGGCGGGCCATCCGCGCCGAGAAAAGATACCACCTTATTACCACTTTATATGCAACTTCAACTTTTGTGACATTGATAGAACAGCTAGCAATATTCCCCCACAGCTGCTGCCACCATTCCTTCAGGGACCACTTCTGTTACAATTCCCCTTTCAAACCTCCGACATACTTATGGTCGGCATGACTAACCAGCCTGTTCAGTTGAGAATATAAGATCGTTACAAGACCCGGGCCCTCCAGTGAGTGAAGACAGATATGATCAAAACATGCAAGTAAACAGGCAGGGTCTCTCCGCTTAATCAGGGTGGAGATCCAGTGAAGTTGGACGTACCTGAAACGTTCAACCTCTGGTATATTATGTTCCCGTAGGTGGATCCATGAAGGAATGGCAGGGGAGCGCAGAAAATCCTGCACTATATGAAATTCATTAATTCGTCCACCATTGAAAAGCTTTGGGTTCGTCCACACCCGGCTTAAACAATGGTGGGGCCAATAAAGCAAGAAGTGGTAAATATGGGGAAATAAAGTCTGCCGAGTACTTGATAGAATCCCACACCTTTAAAGAGTGCACCATAAGAGGACTCAAATGATTGGGCCTGTCGCAGGATGGTAGCCAGGACAATGCAGAAAAGGGGTAGTGTTCCAGCATAAGCCATAGTGGGGAGAGCTGTGTTGGTGTATAGTTAAAGAGCTGGGAAGCTCGATACTATAGCATTATGTTGGGGAGGCCTTTCTCCCCCTCCCCATCCCTTATGTTTATATAGAGTGGTCCTAGTCACTCTAGCTTTACGGGGGTGGAACTGGAGAATACTCCGCTGCAACAAACGCACTGGCGTATATTCACTGGCAAAGTTCTAAAATAATAAAAGGCGTTTGGGCAAAAGTGTCATCTTTATAGCGGAGATTTTACATAGCCACAAAAGATTATATAACCATGACGCGAGTAGCTGTTTCAAAGTTTTGAATAACGGGACATAATTTGCAGACTACAGGGTGTCATAAGAGGCAGTGATCTTAAGGCCCAGATAACGTATATAAGATTTTGCCCATTCAAACAAAAGAAATTGGTGGAGATTTTCATACATTGATTTGGGGAGGTTCACATTCAGCGCAGCGGACTTTTCAGCGTTAACTTTCAACCCAGATTAGGTTCTGTGTTATGCTGCTGCGTCAGAGTGAGCATTAAGTCATCCATGAAAAGGCTAGCTTTATATTCCACCCCTTTAATGTTTGGGTTCGAGCAGAGGATGGCCAGGGGTTCAATCGCCAAAGCAAAAAGAGCCGGGGACATCCTTGACGAGTACCTCTCCTAGAAATAAGATCTTCAAAGCAAGAGCTATCCCCTTTCAGACTGTTGATACCAGAGGTGTCCACATCAGGACATATCCACTCATCTTCTGTACCTGTGGTAACTTTAATATTCAGATTTTCTATCACGTTATTCACCAAAGATAAATGGTCATCAAGACAAATACAGTACATATCCCTAGTGGGGACGCAGACAAAGGCCTGACAGGAGGTAAACTTCACACATCCTAGCCAAAACTAAGTTTTGGTTATGTATACACTATAGTGTTAACAGCAATCATTGGAGAACTGATGTGGGCCCATTGTTATAGCCAGTGCAATGTAAAAATGTACATTTCTGTATTGTAACAGGAACACCCCTTTTTTGTCAGCTAGAGCGTAAGCATGGTAGCTGCCCATTTGAGTTTGTAAAAAAAAAATGTTCCTTTGTAGTTAATATATTTGTAAAAGTTGAACACTGTTGCAGCAAACAAAGAAACTTCAATTTTTTGTAAAGGAGGACTTTAATTTACAGTATTTGATCAAAATTAAGTTCTGTGACAAGACAAAACATCTTTGGAACTACAGTGGCAGAACATAGTAGAAACCCTTCTGTTGAATGCAAGGCCTTTGAGCGTTAGTTTGGGGGGGGAGAAATATATAGATATATATCTGGAGAATATTTTTTTTTTGAAGATATTTTGTAAGCTTATATCCATGAATGACTAGTGAAAAAAAAACTGCTCGGAGCAACCAGACTATATACTTTAAAAATAAAAGCTTTGTGAAGTAATACAAAAAAGTTGTCCTAAAAATAATGAGCACACTGCAGGTCAAGATGTGCCAGCATTAACTATGGCATACACCTTTTTGCATACAGCTTCAGGTTATTAAAAAAAACCCTAAGCATAATGTTGAGTTTGTGTGACAATGACTATTTACAGGAAAAAAAAAAAAAATCTATTTCAGCAGCAACATGTTTAAAAAAAAAAAAAAAGTGGCCAGGTCAATGTGCAAAGCAATAACAGACTCTCCCAAAAACACTCCAAGCAGGGCTGACCTCACTCTACTCAACAAGTGCATTGATGGAAGGTCTTCTTCCCTGAAAAAGTTCTCAAAAAATAGACTCCTCGTGGCAAAGACACATTGTGCCATTTATATCTGCCTCTGATATTCTGATGCCCTGAATAGTGTACGTTACATTGAAAAGGCTTGGGGTGGATATCAAACTAACCACATCATAATTGTACTACATGGACAGATCAATTGGAGAAACTGATAAAACAAGCAGGAAATTATGTGGTAGTTGAGCTCCCTACTTACTGCCATGCTCCTGCTTTAAAATAAAATGCTCAGAGCATGCACAACCCTATGTCAACAAGGCATCTGCAAGGCCACTAAATGTGATGTTCACATTATGTTCCTATGCTTTTAGGACACTGGATAAACCAATGGTGTAACGTTAAAGAAAAGATATGGACGGAAGCATTCAAAAGCGGGTCCTCTGTGAGGCATAAGGAAGAGAACAGTTGTAGTCTTGTGGTTATATGTAAACTTAATTAAGTTTTTGCTTTTTTTTTTTTTATATATAAATGAGGGTGAAAACTACAATCCAGCATGTTCTGATATTTATGTGAAGGTCAGGCCAGCCTCATTGTAGACCTTGAACACTTTCTCAATGGCATTCACATAGGCAGCAGTTCTCAGGTCCAAGCCCAGGTTGTACTTCATTGCAGTGCGCATAATTTGCTGAAAAAACACACATTGTTAAGCACAATATAGGTTTTCTGGTTAAAAGGCAAGACAGATGGTAACCAAGGTTTTTTTAAAGGCTGGACGTCAGATACACCCATTAAAACCATGAAAGGGAGACATTTCACCTGCTAAAGCATTTATATTTTTATTCATCCAACTCAGAGATTTACACAGTCCTGCCAGATAGCAAAGCCAGGCAGAGGACACCAAGACCATGGGCTAATAAGGTTGTGTCCTCGCTCTACTCCAAGCCTGCTGAGTGGACAGTAACCGCAGAGACTGGTGCCATCCCTCTGCTCTTTCTTGCCATCAGAATTGCCCCTTGTACTTAAATTTTATTTAAAAATGCACATTTACTTATTACAGAGCTGCATTAAAATTGTGTCCTTCATGTTGCAGAAGTTCAACAACTAGAATTGACATTCTAAGAAGATGTCTAGGGCTGCAACAACGAAATCGATTACAAATTGATAATGAGAAACGTTGGCAACGATTCTCAATCGATTGACGCCCCTCTTCTCCCCGCTGCAGTGGTCTGTGTCCCTTTTAATCGCCGCCTGTATCGGCAAAGGCAGCGGGGACAGACAACTGCAACCAGCACCAGCGGGGAAAAGAGACCACTGTGACTGAATTCCCCCGTTGCCACCCCTCCCTCGGCCCTGGCCTCCTCTGCCCCACCCCCGCTGGGAGCCATACCCAGTCTGCTATTGGATAATTTTTAAAATGCAACAGCAGTCTGGCTATTGCACCCGCCCACTGCCTGCTGTAAAATCAGCAGAAGAGGACCTGATTGAGAACTCTTCAGGTCCCTCCTCTGCTGATTGACAGGCAATGGACGGGTGCAATAGCTGGCTATTGGTTATTGCAATTTGAAATATCCAATAGCAGGCTGGCTATTGCTCACAGCAATAAAGTTTAAAAAAAAAAAAAAAAAAAGTTAAATGAAAATTGAAGAGTTAAAAAAAAAAAAAGTTACAAAATTAAAAAAGCAAATAAAAGTTTAATAAACTGAAATTAAAATGAAAAAAGTTGGTTATTTGATTATATTGGCAGAGTTTTTCAATTCATATTATTTTAAATCCATGAAACTAAATTTAAATGTCTAATATAATAGATACAATTATTTTTTTTTAAAAAGGAGGGAAAAGTCATTTTCAGTTTCAGCCTGACAAATTTGGCTGCAGGAGGTGCACTGCCATTTATTTCAATGGATCCCAAATGCACCTCCAGTTTGCAGTGTGATCACCCGCACTGGAACACGTGGTACTGTAATGCCCTACGTTCCAGTGCAGTAAGACTTCAAAATATGTGCAAAAATTTGTAACGCTGCATTTGTGGATTTTAAATAAATGGTATTTTTTATTTTATCAGATTAGTCGATTAATGGAAGTTAATAATCGGCTAACTAAATTAATGAAAATAATCATCGTTAGCAACAGCCCTACAGGTGTCCCATTTGACATAATCAAAGGACACATTAGGTAGGCAGTGATTCAACATACAGTTCAAAAACCTAGAATAAAAAAAAACTCTAGAACTGCATATAAAAATGTGAAAAAAACCAGCATTATCCACAATGGAGTGACTGGAGACCTGGGTCTATACCAAACCTTATTTACAAAAGCAATACTACTTTAGAAATATTCACACTATTAAAAAAATAAAAACAAAAAAAACAAAAATAAAACTTACTCTTGCGGATCTTTCCATAGTATACGCCAAGCCAGAGTGGACAATATCTTTTTCAGATGCACCCTGCCAACAAAGCAGCCAACATAACACATTAGTAAAAAAGAAAAGTCAGAACCTATGTGCATAAAAGTAGTCAACAGGATTCTTAATAGACCATCTGGACTCACCACTAGTGATGGGCCAAACAGCCCCGTTTCTGCAGGTCAGATGCAAGACTTCACCCAGAGTTTCGGAAGGCATTTTGCATTATGAAGCTTCCGCGGTCGAACAAACCGTGAACATCCCATAAAGTTCGGCGAACGCTTGTACAGCTGATGTTAGATTCGAATTCATGTTCGAATCGAGCACTCGGACCATCCCTACTCACCACTACCACCTTATACTTTGACTTTTGGTTAAAGGAGAACTATGGGGTTAGGGCTTTTACCCATAGTCCTCCTAAGGGTAACGGGAGGACACAAACTAGCGTCCTCCTGTCACCCTAAGCTCAGTAGAACGCGAGCTACAGCTGTTTTCAGCATCACACATTGGGACTCATGCTTTCATGCCTTGTTCACACGAAAGAGTGTGCGTTCCAGAGCGGTAGATGCTGGAGTGCACCGCGATCGCTGAAAAAAAAAAAACGTACCCCCGCGTTTTGGGCGGGAGGGGTCGTGGCGGTGCATTGTATTCAATGGCAGCGCTTCCACACCCCCTGCAGTGCGATCGAACGCGCGGCAAGCCCTATTTTTTGCATTTGCAGTGGAAAGCTGGCAAAGTTTTGCCGCGCGTTCCATCGCACTGCGTGCGGGCATGGAATCGCTGCCATTGAATTCAATGCACTGCCATGCCCCATCCCTGAAACACGTTGGGGGGGGGGGATTTTCTCAGCGATCACGGTGCGTTCCAGCAGCTACCGCTCTGGAAAGCATGCGCTTTCAGTGTAAACAAGCCCTCAAAGTACTTAGATGTTCTGGCGAAGAGGCTCCCACAAAAACAAGGGACTCCTAAACAGGAGGATGGAGTCTTGAGCAAATTCAATCAAAAACAAGACTCTATGGTAAATAATTTTGCAAGTCTTTCATTCTACAGTCCAAACGATCGCTGATTTGACCCCATTACCATTAATAAATCAAATGCTCCAAAAATTTTCTAACTAAATTCTACTGGGGCATGGCCAGCTTTGGATTGGCCACATATATGGTCTGGTCTACTATGACAAGAAAAAAAAACCTAACATGTTTGTGTAAGCATAAATAACATTTTCTGCAACTTTCTGCCCTATTAGGTTATCACAAAATGACATACAGATATCCTAGCCTGGAACTCTGCTGTTGGCACTACTGGAATAGCGCCACCATGTTTCCCAAACTTCCTCTCCAAGCTCTCCTGGACAGACACTAAGTAGAAAGAAAAAGAATTTAGTAGAACAGTCTGGGGAACCGAACAAACCATCTCTTTGATAATTTATACATACTGAGTAAATGATAGTTTGAGTCCCGCTCATATTTGAAGGTTAGGCGACCATAGCTCACATGATTGAGGTTCTTCAGCCACTCAAAATAAGACACTGTTACACCACCGGCATTCAAATACAGGTCCTGCACAACAAAAGGTATGTGTGGTCAAGATAATTTCAAGGTCTTCTTTAAATTAAGATAATTCACCTTTAAACATTAAGGTTTATAGCATGGCATATACTTTGCCAAGCACCGTAGAGGTAGGAAAACCTTACATAAATCCTACACTAGAATATTAAGTGACTGTACAGTGACAGAAAGATGGGAGATTGTAGATTCTGGACAATCCGGAACACCACAAGCTAGATCTGTGCTGCCAGCCTCCAACAGACATGAAAAAATTGCCTTAGTCCCCCAATTCAACCTGAAGCATTTTCAGACGATTCTCAAGTGTTGTATTTGTGCATTTTCAGGTTTGCATGTTTTTGTTTAAGCTAAATGGAAAGAGCTACCGTGTTTCCCTGAAAATAAGAGTCTTATATTTTTTTTGGCTCAAAAATACGCACTAGGTGTTATTTTCGGGAGTAGATCTTTTTTTTTTAAATGTACAACAAACCACACTTATTACCAGTAGAAGACTTACAAGACAGGAGTGAGTGGCAAAGTTAAGAATAGGGTGATCAGAGCAATCAGGGGTGTCGTACCTTTCCAAGAGCAATTTGGTAACCAATCCCTGGCCAGAATGAGCGAAGCGCGCTCACTATCGATCCCTCACAGGCAGAGTGCATTTGGTATCACTCCGCCTGTGACAGGAGCCGGCACTATAGAGGAAGCATCGGCTTATGCAGCTCTGCTCCCTCCGCTGCCGCCTCGATTCCTCTAGCGCTGGCTTCGTTGGCACCGCTGATTCTCTCCCGCAGCTCTTCAAATTCCCCCTTATGCCACCACCGGCCCTGGAAATGGTCACAACTAGGTCTTAATTTTCGGGGTAGGTCTTATATTTTAGCAATTCTCAAAAATAGTACTAGGTCTTATTTTAGGGGAAGGTCTTATTTTCGGGGAAACAGGGTAGCTACTAGAAGGAAATACACTTTTTTCAGGCACTGCCCATTGTAGTCTATGAGGCCAAAAGAAAGAAAAAAAGCTTATGTACTTCGAGCTACAATGCTCAGGAGTGAACAGACACGACTAAAAAATAATGGAATTCTTCATGTTGAACGTTGTCATGCTTTGGGAAATGCACTAAACGCCCAGGTGGGAATGAGGGCTGAGATTTGTTTTTAACCGTTCTAAAACAAAGAACAAACAAAACAAAAAAAAACACCTTAAAGTGCCTAAGTTACACTCCTAGATACTTCCAGGCAGATAGAAAGCAGTCAATATTTTTATAGCAGCCTCTACAATTCTTTAGTCTAGGTTTCCTTTAGGCTGGAGCCCCACTTATACGCTTGAATTGCAGCACGTTTTTGGCCAACGGGTCTCACCGCGCTACATATAAGTAGACCAGCCCCATTCATTCGTGGGCCTTCAAAATGAACCCATCAGCCCTTTTAAATGTCCTGCCTTAGAGAAGAAACCACAAAGATACCTGCTATTTCAGGTAAAGCTTCTTCTATAGGTCTGTAGAATAGTTTAACACCCCCTACCCCAGAGTCTGGTTTAAATTTTGTTCAAAGTAAACATCGGCATGACAAAAACCCATGAAGGGGCTGCCATTGCTTTTCCATCCAAAAATTCTAGTCATCTGGTTTTTAGGGCTGTGCAAATTAACGATTCATTTCTCGATTAATCGTTAATCTTTTTGATCTATTAAAATGTTTTTGAAGCTTTCTGCATGAGCGCCAGCCAAGGCATTGGCCTATACACACAGCACAGCAATGAATAAAATGAACTAGGATCACACTAATCCAGCACGTTATTAATCTCACGTGCCCCACTCAATATGGTCGCCGCTTGAGTGGGGCACGTGAGATTAATAACGTGCTGGATTAGTGTGATCCTAGTTCATTTTATTACTTCATTGCTGTGCTGTATGTGTATAGGCCAATGTAGTTGGATCTATATGTGCGTTATCAAAATTAATCAATTTTTAAAAAATTGGATTAATCGAACACGAAAATTTTAATCATGACCAGCCCTACTGTTTTTCATTCTAAATTACTGGCTTCAAAGCTTCCAGTCACTAACCCAGAACAAAGTTGGCAAATGAGGAAAGTCAGAAGGTCTTATCTTGTTCTACGTCAGAGTTTGTCTATCGAAGTCAGCATGAAGATGACCAGCATTTTCAGAAATAATTGGTAACCAGGTGCTGAACATATGACAGATCTCCTGTATGTGCGATACAATACACGTTTGCACTGCCTGCCTAAGTGTTTTAAAAAGGGATATAGATTAAAAGCATAACTTACTGGAATGACCAATATATTTCTCTCAAGGAAGATTTTGTCAGCTTCTGGGGTCGTGGGACCGTTGGCTCCTTCAGCAATTATCTATAAAATATTTGATTAACAATGGTATGATTATACGAGCAGAATTAAGCCAGTTTTTTTATTATTAAACAGGATATTTACTATACCTTTGCCTTGATTTTATGTGCATTAGATTTTGTTAGCTGTTTTTCACTGGCTGCTGGAATTAAGATGTCACAATCTGCCTCCAGGATGCTTCCATCATAAGCCTGAGCCTTTGGGAATCCAACAATTGTTCCATGTTGCTGTTAAAAATGGAAGCCAAAAATAAGCATCAGACACAAGAGACTAGGAAAAAAAAAAGTTCTATGAAACACGACGACAAGACATATTTATAAATCTGTGAAGGGAACTTTCAAACATTCACTGAAGAGTAATTTGTTTATTTAAATGCATGCATCTGTAAAACTCACCGGCAGTGGCTGTTGGTGAATGTCACATACACACACCTTAAAGTATTATTAGCTGAAGGCTTCCACATCAAAGTTCATGATTTTTAATTTTCCTCCAGATATGTAGACAGAGTCCCAAGAGCAAATCATCCATTTGAAACTAGCGCCACCCAGTGGCAAACTGCACACTTTTCCCCAACACCCAACCCAGGGCTGTGCCATTTTCATTGCCACCATTATTAAAAACACATTGAGGGCAATTAATCAAAGCTGGAGCAGACAAAATTTGGAGCAGCTGTGCATGGCAACAAATCAGCTTCTCTCTCTCATTTTCAAATCTTTGCTGAACAGAGAAGCCGATTGGTTGCCATGGGCAACTGCTGCAGATTCTGTCTGCTCCAGCTTTGATAACACCCCCCATTACATATTTTTCCAGTAATTGTATTAGAGAACTATGGGGTCAGTGTTTTTCCCCATAGTTCTCCTAAGGGTCACGGGAGGACATAAACAAGCATCCTCCCGTGACCCAAAGCTCAGTATACCACAAGCTACAGCTTGCGGTATACAGAGACGCTGCAGCTGAAACGGATCCCAACATTTATGTCTGGATCCGCCCAGCTGCGTGAGTGACAGCTGGATCTGCCTATGTAGAGGCAGAGCCAGCTGTACCCGCCCCCTCCCACGTCCGTTCTGCCAGTCAGCACTGGAGGATCGGAGCGGGGAGAATCCAGTCCCTCCCTGTCACGGCTCTCTGCAGGGACATTATCGAGAAGTGAGCGAGCGAAGGTATGTGTGTGCTCACTTCCCGATCTATTGAGCCGTGTGACAGATGCATTGTCACACATCGGCTCGAAGTATGAGTGAGTGAAAATCACTCACCTCATAGATCTCCTTTAAGTATTTTGTTCTAGAAATGTATTTATTTTTTTTTCTTGTTCAGGTAGCATCAATATGTACATTGCAATAAAATATTTCATAACAGCAAATATATACTGCATATCTTATGTTAGGGAAAGTATGCCTATTCACCCACAGGTGTAAAATCAAAGTTCCAGCAATAGAAATAACCTCTATATGAGAGGCTACTGAACTGGTTGGTGGTATAGAGTAATCTACATACAGAACAGAAAGTAGACTTGAATAGTGTGGTAAAAACACGTGTATGCAATAAATAGGGCAGTCTGGATGTCACTTCCAGCAATGCAAAGAGAAAAAAAAAGTCCAGAATGTCACTTACATGGCAGCATATGGAGTGAGGCTGAGCAGAGGTCACATAAAACACTGTGCAGAGTGGGATGGCTTGAAGAACGCAACACAGCATAAAAAGAACAGGCGGCCTTTAGTTAGTATGACGGTAGGCAGAGCACTCTACAGCACACAAGACACTAAAATGTCGAATGAGGGTCTAAGTTGGACTACCTTTCAAAGCCATAAGTAAACCTGTGGAGTGATCCTTACCTTCTAAAAAAAGGATGAGGAGTCAGCCACAGGTCTACAGAAAAAGCTCAGAGGTGGCTGCTTGAACCTGCACTTTAACTTCAACGCAAACTAGTATCCCCAAAACCCCAGCTCTTTATTAAAAGGAGAACTATGAGGTGAGTGCTTCTCTCTCACCTCATAGTTCTGGCCGACCTGTGACAACGAGACTGTCACAGGTCGGCTCAGTAGATCGGGAGGTGAGCAAACAACACCGGCATTCGCTCACCTCTCTATCCTGTCACGGCTCTCCGTGACAGGGAGGGGCTGATTCCCACCTCCGATCCACCAGCGCTAACTGGCGGAACTCACGGGGGAGGGGGCGGGTACAGCTGGCTCTGCCTCTAGATAGGCAGAGCCAGCTGTCACTCACGCAGCTGGGCGGATCTCTACATCGATGTAGGGATCCGCTCTGGCGTCTCAGTATACCGCGAGCTGTAGCTCGCGGTATACCGAGCTTAGGGTAACGGGAGGAAGCTAGTTTGTGTCCTCCCGTTACCCTGAGAACTATGGGGAAAAGCCCTGACCCCATAGTTCTCCTTTAAGCAAATATTCACCATAGCTTCTGTGACTGACCCCAGACTCACTTCTGTACTGATTAGTGAGGCCATCACACTTTGTGACCAATATGAAAAACCTGACCATGACCAGAAGTGGGCCAGGCTGACCGCAGAAGCTGTTGAAAACAGCAAAATACTTTTTTGAGCTCCTGCGTGGTAACAAAACCTAAAATTAAAGATGTGAGCAGGTACCTGCGCAGTGGATCCAAGGAAAATCTTAATGTAAGGTGGCCCCATGGGGTCACTTTGCAATATTTAATAAACTCCATTTAAATACTAAGTGCTATTATTCCATTATCGCAGACAATTTTCACAGCGCTATCATCAGTAACGTAGAATTAGTTTATACCAACTTGCAACAGTTCTCTCTAGCAACAGCAAACCACCCATGTGATGGTGTGTGAACGAATACACCGTGTGCATCCAGGCTTATTCAGTACAGAGAAACAAGGAGCAGTAACCCACCAGATTTCAGTTTACATATTGTGATGCTACCATACAGGCCACTATCAGATAGCACAGCAGAAAGGCACCAGATCAGAGCATAATTTAGGGCATCCCTGTCACCTACTATACTTGGGGTTCTACTGCAGTATTAGATTTGCTCCCTGATTAATAGCACTACACTATAGAGAGGTGTTGCGTAGTGTGCAGAGAAGGGCACTTTCCTTCAATAAAGACCTTCACAAGATTCGATAAAGGAATTGTGGGCGACAGCCAAGAAAAATTAACAAAAAACGTTTTTACTAGCAGAAGGGATTAAATGAGCAGCAAAACCCTAATACTTGCCATTAAATATATGAAATGGTTACTCACCAGCTTGTAATCCTCAAGTTCTTTTGGATCAATACCATCAGGATTCCAGATTGTGCCATCTATTTCACCAATTCCAACACACTTTGCACCAAATCGATGAAGGTAACGCATTGAATGTAGACCTACATTACCAAATCCCTGGCGTGCGGAAAAGAGTTACAATATTTAACATATTTAACATAAGGATTAATTTTGATGCAGGCATCGGCCGGAGGACACAGCAGGGATCGTGGACAAGGTAAGTAACGTGCTGTGTAATCCCCAGTGTGGCTCCAGTTACCGCTTTTGGTAATGAAAATTAACCCCGAGCCACACTCGGGAATACCGCCAGAAAGGTTAATTGTGTGTGGTTGCCATATTGATTTCAATGGGGTTACAGCTGCAGGACAATCGCCCAAAAGGTACATACACCTTTTTCCGCACGGCACGGGTTTTTCAAACGCAACCACGCGCGATTGCATGGGCAGAATCGCGGCAGGAAACCACACGATCTGATTGGCGTGCCATTAGAAAACAATGGCGCCGCCAGTGCGATCAGCAGTGGTGTGCAAATCCGTGACCGATTCCGCACACGGTTTTGTGCAAGATTGCCGCGCAGTTACAGATCGCCCAGGTGTGAACCTGGCCTAAGTGGTTTTGTTTGCAAACAGCAAGCATCTAATGTTTTCAAACAGTTATACTCTAGCACCTTGGTTCTCAACTGGTGGGTCAGGACCCAAAAGTGGGTCGCGACCTCGTGTTCAGTGGGTCGCCGCATGTCTTCCACTTTTCTAGGTGAGAGGCTCCTCAGCCTCCCCCTAGCGCAGCACTGTCAGTTCTTGGGCCAAGCAGACATTCAAAATATGCTTCCGGTGCTGAGCGTCAGCTTGAGGTGGGATGGCTGCGAGGGAGCTCCATCCATACGTGCATTGCTTACAGCCCCCTTGTGCGCCCTGTAGAGGTGACTGGACCGGAGTGACATCACATTCTGGCTCCCGACAACTCTACAGGGCACACACGGGGGCTGTAAGCAATGCATGTATGGAGCTTCATGCCAGCACAGCAGCCCACAGTGGACCCCAGGCTGAGGATCCACTCCAATTCTCATAAGGTTGGGAGACTGGGTGGATCTTAAGAAAAAGGAAATCACTTTTTTTGGAGTGTGTGTGTGTGTGTTAGAATGTCTGAGTGTGTGAGATTGTCCGTGTATTTGAGGGCCCTACACACTAGTAAAGTGCGGTAATCGCATAGTCTTGTGCGATTAATGCACTGTACCACGCATTCTGGTGTGGGAGGTGTGCTGCCATTCACTTAATGGCACCCCAAACGCACCACCCACAGTTCGATTGCCCGCATCGGAACGCTCTGCGCAGCAATTCTATGCAATGCATTGCAACTTGGGTCGCGACTGAATGACCAAGGGCAAATGTGGGTCCTGAGGTTACACAGGTTGAGAACACCTGCTCTAGCATATCCAGCACATTGGAGGCAGTAGGACTGCTTTAAGTATCACACAGATACCGCTATAAATTAAATCACTCCAAGAATAAACAGAAAAAGCTGAACTCTCTCTTTGTCTCTACATGTCTTTCTATATCCCAATGAAAGTATATATTTTATACATGGAAAGGGCCACAGAGATCCCGTAAAACACTGCAGTAGCCATAACTACTACAGTGCTTCACATCATTCATTTAGGTCCTGCTATAGCCGCTGTGCTGAGCACCCCTCTGCTGTGACAGAGTGGGGAATTTATCAAAACTGGAGCAAACAGAATCTGGAGCAGTTGCCCAGGGCAACCATTCAGCATTAGACAAAAAATTTGTTTCGTTTTAAATTCGGATTTCGGATTTGTGTTATTTCGTTTTTCAGGATTCGGGTGTGAAAGTCAATTCGGAATTCGGATGAAATTCGGTAGCGTTAATACGAACGTTCGTTTCCTGTTATTAGTTTCGTTCGTTTGCAGCAAAAGTGACATTTGAGGGGGAAAAAATATTTTTCTCCTTCTGTCACTTTGCTCCAACGAACGAAACGAATAAGAACAGAAAACGAAACGAACGTTCGTACTAACGCTACCGAATTTCGGAAATGGAAATTCGGATTCGTTTGCATTCGTTATGTCTGTAATTCGGAATTCGGATACATCCGAATGTCCGAAAATTCGTCCGAATTTCGATTCGGACGACCTGCTGTGTTTTAATGGATATAAAATGTATTCTTCACTGGAAAATAAAAATCACCTGAATAGCAAATGTTTTATCTCCAAACCCAGGAGTCATTCCCAGCTGGCTCATGTATGAAGCCTCATTGATGAAGTTCTCAATCCCATGGAATACTCCTCGGCCAGTTGCAGAAACGCGTCCATGTATACCACCCTGACTGATGGGCTTCCCTGTGACACAAGCATGTGCATTGATATCCTATAAAAGAACAAACAAAAAAGAACACAATTACTAGACGAATATCCCAGTAATCATGCGGTCTGAAAGACTGTACATTTGAGTCCCAAAAAACTGATTAAGAAAACAAACAGAATAAACCGAACTTACAGTGTGTCCAATTGTGTTGGCATATGTGTCTGCTATCCAAGACATCTCCCTCTCTCCTGTGCTCATATCTGGGGCAGGGACGTCAATACCGGGTCCTGTGGAACACAAGATAGTAGAATTGAGTGAATTATTCTTCCAAATATTTTCCTGCAATCATAAACAAGCTTGCAAATAAAAGAAACACTGCCATGCTCAC